ATGGACACAAGTTTGTACTCGTACAAGGGGGCTGGCTTTGAAAACCATCTTTCGTGGTTGGACAAAGGGACGCTTTTTTTTAGGTGAAGTTCATGAAAAGCAAGCCTGGAGCAGCCATGGTGGAGATGGCGGACGGCTATGCGGTAGACCGAGCGATCACCCACCTCAACAATAACTTCATGTTTGATCAGAAGTTGAACGTATGGTGAGTTCCCTCTGGATTACCCCAAGACCTTCTTGAGTCTGCGTCAATCCAGGAGTGCACAGTCGAACATCGTTTCTTGGTTTGCCTGCAGTGTGTCAAAGCAACAGGCCATTATGCCTGGCCAGTCTTACGGTCTTGAGGACGGCTCTTGCAGCTACAAAGATTTCAGCGGCTCTCGGAACAATCGGTTTTCAACCCCTGAGCAAGCGGCCAAGAACCGAATCCAGCACCCCAGCAACGTGCTCCATTTCTTCAATGCGCCTCTGGAAGTGACGGAGGATAACTTCTACGAGGTAAGAACTTTGACGTGGGGCAGCCTCAGCCTGGTCGGCTGTCATATGGGGAAAATGACTTGGCAGTTTAGGAAGAATCAGAGGACATGCAAAACTTGCTTCCTTCGCTGTATGATAGGATGATGACTTTATTGGATTTAGACAGCATCCCACTCCCAGTGGCTCTGGGCAGCTTACATCTCTAAAAGTAGGAAACGGTCACACTAAAGAAAAAAGACACGTGCGCCTGAATATGATGTCAGCAGAGTCTCTGGTGTGCCTGGAAGTAGCAACTAGAACGGACCCAGTTGGGCCACCTTGCTGGTCCGTCCCAGCGGCAAGTCTCTGGATCCTGAGTCTGGATACGAGCTGCTCTTCGTTTGGCCTCACAAAATGACAATGGGTTTGTGTTAATTTTTGACAAAAGTGATACAAGAAGAGGCTGCAAAGTGGTGCTAAAAATACTTGACTGAAAGTAATAAACACCAATTGTTGCTTGTTCAGTATTTTTGCATTGAGCAAAGCATTTGAACGAGCTATTTTGCTATAGGATAATATTTAGAATCATCTCTCCTTTTTGCTCCTACCAATACATTTTCAGCATAAAACAGAAAATATATAAAACACAGTTCAGTGATGGCTGAAAATTGTATTTTTCAAAGCAGTAATGTTTCTGGAAGAACAACTGGGAATAGAACCTGACTGAAGATGAGCATCATAAAGTGTACAGTAGGGAAGTGGCTTAATGCTCCTGTGACATGTGGCATTTTTTCCCTTGTCAGATTTGCGATGAGCTGGGGGTGAAGAGACCGGCTTCAGTCAAGGTGTTTTCAGGAAAGAGTGAGTATCCCACTGCAGAGATCTGTCTTGGGAATGCTGCTCCTTGGAAAGCAGGAATTGAGAAGGGTGGGTGTCCATGCTGACCTAGGACAACCGAGCGGATCCGTACGATTGGAGTCATAGTCTGCCCCTCAGAATTTGCCTGCCTCTGCTCAAACGAGGCAGGTTAATCTTAAGCTGTATCTTGAAATGCCTGCAGGTGAAAGGAGCTCGTCGGGTCTGCTGGAGTGGGAAACCAAAGGGGATGCGCTGGAAACGCTGGCTTTCCTCAACCATTATCAGATGAAAAACCCAAGTAAGCCCCATGGGGTGTGGGGCACGGTGTGGGTTTGCATGTTGCGTTTTCTAGATGTTGAAGAAGTGGGCCTGATGATGATAAGACTGGGGCATCTTCCTGCCCTTTTCCCTTCTTGGTTGTTTATCTTTACTGGTAGGAAAGGCAAGTAATAGATCATAAACGCTGACCCTGTTGGAGACCCTGCCAGTAGCTCTCCATTAGCTACCTCTGCCAAATTATTGAAGGTTGGAAGGAAAAAACAGCTACTGGCACAAGCACATTCTGAATTGGGCCTCAGTGTTTATAATTTGGAATGGATGTGAAGTAAACTTGGGGGTTGACATTCTAAACCCTCCTTTCAAAGTTAGCATCATCCCTGCAGTCAACAGCAAGGTTGTATAGGTAGTCCTCTGCCCTGTTTAGCGACCATTCAAACTTAAGACAGTGCTGAAAAAGTAGCTTTATGACCAGTCCTCACACTTAGGGCTGTCGCAGCATCCCTGCAATCACATGATCGTGATTTGGACACTTCACATCTGGCAGGCATTTAGAGCTGTCAGCATCCCGCAGTCACGTGGTCGCCATTTGCAAGCTTCACTTCCGGCTTCTAACAGGCAAAGTCAGTGGGGAAGCCAGCAGTAAGTTGCAAGTTGCGGTCACGTGATCTCATGCTTTGTTGTGTTTCACATAACGACCATGTTGCTTAGCAATGGAGTTGCCAGTCCCTGTTGTGGTCATTAAGTGAGGACTACCTGTATTGAGAACTGAGGTCAAGTGGATATTATTTGTCTTAAAGAGATGTGCAACCCAAACCTTTGTGTGTGGTGTCCAGAGTTGCGTTGTAATTGTTAGCATGAAAGGGGGATTATCACTAAACGTGCAAGTAACAAAATATCTGAAGTGATTTACGTTTAAATCTGAATTGTTTTGGCTACTCAAAGGCTGAGTGAAGCCATCAGCCCCAGATGGATCAGAGTGGGAGATGTCAAAGTTGGGAACGCTTGAGAAATCCTTTTTTGTGTGGCTGTTGATGATGATGTGGGATTTTATTTATTTATTTATTTATGAATCAAATTTGTATGGCCGCCCATCTGTTTCTTGTTGAGGTGACTCATAAGTATTTCTGGCTTTCTCCTAGATGGGCCATATCCCTACACACTGAAACTCTGCTTCTCAACCGCTCAGCATGCTTCCTAATTTCTCTTTGGTTCCTGACAAAGAAGACTGCTCCGTTAACTTTCTTGTGTGTGAATTTTTTTTTTTTTTTGGCAAAGCTGTGTCCCTTTTTTAAAAAAAAAACAAAAAAGCTTAATTAGAGGCTGCCTGCAGCTAGATCAGCTGGGAAGAGAAGCCCTGTGGCCTTCAGATGACATCTAATTTTAAAACTATTGTACATGTGATATGTTTTTTCCCCATTCATACAGTGTGCTGCCTGTGCTAGTTGGCACATTTAATAAAGCTGTTTGGAAAATAAATTGTTGTATAAACTGGTCCAGTAAAGCCCTTGGGAAGTTTTTGTGGAAGACGGGCAGGTGTGTCGAGTATCATTTTTTTGAGTGGAGTGAAGTTGGTCTCTTGCCTTGGCTCCACGGAAGACCAGGCTAAATTAAAAAGGGGGCTACCGATCAACAGTAATTTTATGCAAACCCTCCACTCTTTTCCCCTGCTTTCTTGTATGCTGGGTGGCTTTATAATTTAACAAGTTAACTAAAATAGGGAGCAGGGAGATACTACTAAAGCAGGGTTCCTCAACCTTGGCAACTTTAAGACGGGGTTAAAAATTTTGGAAATCACAATCTCGTGGATGGCTGAGAGCTGTCATCTCTTTGCCTGAAACTTAAGAAGATAAAAATGCTTTTTGGGGGGGGGGCTGTTCTTGACTCTGGCCTATAAACTTTTACCCAACGGAAGAGCTGCTGAAAGGCCTCCCCTTGATCCACATGGGGAAACCAGGGTGTTCTTTCTCGGGACAGCCCTGCTCCCTCCACTGAGCTTCCGGTATTTTATTGGGTTAGAACAGTGTTTCTTGAACCTCGGCAACTTTCATACGTGTGGACTTCAACCCCGGAATTCCCCGGCCAGCAAGGGGGTCTTAGCACGCGTCTTAGAGTTGCCGAGGTTCAGAAACGCTGGAGTCGAAGACGATCCGCGCGCCGGTCTGATTTTTTCGAGATGGACTACAACCCCCAGCAGGCCCCTCCCGGCCACGCTGGCGAAGGCTGCGGGCGGACGCTTCT